GGCTGGGCCTGGACCCTGGGTCTGAGGGAGGAGGCTGGGCCTGGACCCTGGGTCTGAGGGAGGGGGCTGGGTCTGAGGGAGGAGGGGCTTGGATCTCGGATTATCAGCAGCTGGTAATTGTGTAACTTCCACCCATGTTCCCACACCACAGAGCCACCCCCTACAGAACCCAGAACCCTCAATGGCGTGTCCTCCCCACCTCCACCTAGCCCTACGAGCCCTCTGGTTAGTGTGGGTGTCCAGAGGTCCTGGGAGGCCATAAAGCCTGTTGGCCTCTGGGCAGAGTGGGTGGGTTGAGACTGTCCACACATCCTGGACAACTGAGTGCCTTTTCTGGTGGCTCCTCCAGAGCTGGTGGGAGTGGGGTTTGTCATGGACCTCCTGGGGTCAGCACTGGGAGCCTCTGAGGAGAGGGGTCTTTCTCCATAACCCAGACCTCCTTCGCCCAGCCGCCCGAAGAGACCCCCTTCTCCAGGCGCTTTCACCTGCAGAAGACGGGGAGCTCTGGTGCTCTGGGTCCCCCGGAACGGCGGGGAGCCGAGGCAGCCCCTGGGGCCGGGCTGCAGCGGTCGGCCTCCTCCTCCCAGCTGGAAGGGACCACTGCTCAGGTAGGCCAGTGAGGTGGGCGGGGACGTCCCTGCCTCCCCAGGAGATACCCTCTCTTGCTCTCCTCCTCTCTCTGCAGGCCACAGAGCCTCGTCTTGCCAGAATTCCCCTGACTCCCTCACGGAAGGTGCCAGAGCCCTCTCCACTGTGAGCTCCAGGGGACCCTGGGCAGGGGGGACAGCAGGTGTGGGTCCCAGGCCTAGCAGCAGCATCCTGAGCAAGTCCATTGGCTCCCTGGGGCTTCTTTTTCTCCTCCCCACACTGCCTCGGTTCCCTTTGGCAAGTCAAGTACAAGCTCAGAACTTGAGGTCCACTGTGACCTGCTGGCCTCTCCCTCTCCTGCTCCAGGGCCTTTGCTCTGCCTCCCCTCACATCCTGGGGCTTCCCCTCCTCCCCTTGGGGTCTCTCTTCACACTTCCCCTCTACCTGAGTCCCTCCTGGTCCTCCCCTGTCTCTTTCATCCAGTGCAGCCACTCAGCTTTTGCTCTGCTTTTGCTCTGCTTTTGGGCTGTCGCCTGCCTGGTGCCCCTGCTCAGAGCTGAGTGTCCCAGCTGCCATGACTGGGCTCTTGACTCCACTGGAGTAGTCCTTGGGGAGGGAATGGATCCACACGGCCTGGGGCTGCCCAGCTTCCTCCTTCCTCAGTAACTCCTCTCCTTCCTGCAGGAGAGAGCCTGGATCCCCAGTGAAGCCACATGTCCCCGCAGCCTCTGCCGCATCCCCAGCCGACTCCCGGGACCGTAGAAGGTAGAGGGGCCAGGGCAGGGAGCCCTGCGTGCGAAGGGGAAAAGTACATTGCCCAGGAGCCCCAGGCTCTGCGGGCTCTGGGGGCTCTGAGGGACACCAAGTCCCAGGGCTTGTTGGGAAGTCCTCCATACTTGACGCCTAGAGAGGGAAGGGGGACAGCTCCAAGGAACGCTCCCTGAGGTCGGGTCCTTCACGCAGGTCCTACCAGATGCCTGTGCGGGATGAGGAGTCTGAGTCCCAGCGGAAGGCTCGCTCCCGCCTCATGCGCCAGTCTCGGAGGTCCACCCAGGTGTGGGGGGTGGACTGTGCTCCGGGCCTGGGGGCTGCGGGAGGAGGGCTGGGGTCTGAGCCCCTGGGGCCTGAGGGGTGGGGGCCGGTCTGGACTCCCGGGTCAGGTGGCCCACTCTCCCTTCTCTCTGCCAGGGTGTGACTCTGACAGACCTAAAGGAGGCTGAGAAGGCGGCAGGGAGGGCCCCAGAGCCAGAGCAGTCGCCCCTGCCCGGCCTGGTGAGCAGGGTCGGCCAGGCCCGCGG